GGGGGGGGGAGCTGAGTCCAGGAATTGTTAAATTATTTCATTTATTGTGAATAATCTGTGATTAAATCCCGGATTATAAATTATTTTAGCTTTGTTTCTTTAGCTGATGTGAGCTTTTAGCTGTTGGACTGAAGCAACTTTGAGCAGGGGGGGGGGGGGGGTAGTTTGTTGGTCTGATTCAGGGAGTGAGAGCAGGTTCTGAGCTCCACCATGTGAGCTTTGTGTCTGAGCGGAACAAAGTTCTGTTGGGTCTGAGCTGCACCTTCAGGGATTTAATGTCTTCATAAATTCAACTGGTCTTTTCATCCAGTTTCACCTGATTGTTGCTTTTTATGAAGCGGAACCTGCAGGAGTTGCTGCTGGGGGGAGGGGCCCTGACCCCCCCCACCTCTGATCCGAACCTGCCCCCTGCAGCAGAACCGGGCCGGTCCCGAGCTGCTGCAGATAAATGAGAGGAGCTGCTGCAGGAGGAGCTCAGAGCGCGAGCTGCAGCTCACACACACACACCTGAACACACACCTGGACACACACCTGGACACACACCTGGACACACACCTGGACACACACCTGGACGCGCAGCTGGACCCAGGACTGGTTCTGGGTCAGAATGTGAACCATCTTGTTCTGGTGGACATTTAGAACCCTCTCAGGTTCGGTTCCGAACCAGACCCTCTGCTCCCATCAGGACCTGCAGGATGGATCAGACCCTGGAGGTTCTGCTCGCTCCCAGGTCGGTTCTGGTGGTCTCCGCGGTCCTGCTGCTGGTGTCCATATGGTTCTGGCAGCGCAGGTCCGGTCCAGGTCTGCCCGGACCCTTCTCGTGGCCCCTGATCGGGAACGCGGCGCAGCTCGGACACGCGCCGCACCTGTTCTTCGCGCGCATGGTCCAGAAGTACGGGGACGTGTTCCAGATCCGGCTGGGCAGCCGGACCGTGGTGGTTCTGAACGGGACCGCCATCAGGCAGGCCCTCATCAAGCAGGGTCTGGACTTCGCGGGCCGGCCGGACTTCACGTCCTTCCGGTTCGTGGCGGACGGGGACAGCTTGGCCTTCGGGACCGTGACGGACAGGTGGAAGACGCACCGGCGCGTGGCCCAGTCCACGGTCCGGATGTTCTCCACGGGGAACCCGCGGACCAAGAGAACCTTCGAGCAGCACGTGCTGTGCGAGTTCAGGGAGCTGCTGCGGCTGTTCGTGGACTGGACCCGGCGGGACCGGTTCTTCCAGCCCATGACCCCCCTGGTGGTCTCCACGGCCAACGTGATGAGCGCGGTCTGCTTCGGGAACCGGTACTCGTACCAGGACCAGGAGTTCCGGGATGTGGTGGGTCGGAACGACAAGTTCACGCAGACCGTGGGGGCGGGCAGCATCGTGGACGTGATGCCCTGGCTCCAGTACTTCCCGAACCCCATCAGGACCATCTTTGAGGACTTCAAGAGGCTGAACCGGGACTTCAACCTGTTCATCAGGGACAAGGTCCTGGAGCACAGGAAGACCCTGGAGTCCAGCACCATCAAGGACATGACGGACGCCTTCATCGTGGCTCTGGACCAGATCCGGGACCAGACGGGTCTCCCGGCGGCCAAGGACTACGTGTCTCCGGCCATCGGGGACATTTTCGGGGCGAGTCAGGACACCCTGTCCACGGCCCTGCAGTGGCTCATCCTCATCCTGGTCCGGTAAGACGCTTACTGTCTGTTCTGGGTCAAAACCTGCGTTTAGATGGGTCAGAACCAGGTTCTAGACTGGGTCAGAACCTGGTTTAGGTGAATGAATGCATGTCGCCCGCCGCTGCTCGGACGGAGCAGCTGGATGACTCTCAGCTACCACTCCAGGTTCTAGCTTCAGTGTCTGAGGTCAGCTGGCTGCGGCGGCCATCTTAAATGTAACCAAATAAAAAACATGATCTCCCGCCTTCGTCTCTTTGAGGCGCTTTGATAAAGTTTTAAAGGAAACATTTATTTTTAACTCAGGCGTAAAACAGCTGATTAAAATATAAATGTTAAAATGTTGATCAGATTCTGTAGAACTGGGTCAAATGTTTGAACATTATAAATTCTGTGGAGGTGAGTGCGTGTGTGCGTGCGTGTGTGCGCGCGCGTGTGTCAGCAGCACAAAGAGGTGAAACTTCACACCTGCAGCTACATGAATCCCATCAGCTGCTGCTGCAGAATTATTTTACATCACTTTCATTTTTCTGAACATCTAAATATTTGGAGCAACCAATCAGCAGAATGGGGGGGGTT